CCAGTCTCCTATGGTATCCATTGACGATCAATCGTATCAACCATTTCCGAAAATCCCGACATGCATTTTGTTCAACAGTAGAATAAATGAATGCATTAATCAGTGATTATACGATAATCACTATTCGATGATCAATATGCATTAATCAAACAATGACGTGACATCGTTACACGCGACGCACATTTTTGTTGAGGAGAAATGAATATCAGAAGGGGAATTGGCCAATCGTACTGTATGATGCGTGTTTGATATTTCATCGGTGGAACGAGGATCTAGAATGTAATATGTTATAATATATTTTGGGTTTCCCTTTTTTGTCCTTTTGGAATTTGAAGTTTTGAATGAGAAGTTATCAGGTTCGCAAGCTCATAAGTTCTTTTTGCTTCATTACTAATTTGCCTTTCATTTCTATAGTTCTAGTATATATATTACAATTCACATCGATTCATTCATCACAATGATTATCCACTTCCACTTTCACCCCCTTCCCATCCTCCTCACATACCTCACCATTATCCCTCAAACTATTAGCATCGCAATCCCTCAATCCCCCTCCAACATCAACACCATCACCAACAGCCATCCCAACCTCGGCTCCTGGCATGCTCTCCCACCTATCCCCATCTCTCCCCGCAAAGAACACGCAACCGTCTACCTAGAACCATACATCTACATACTCGGCGGCGTAACCCCCACCAACGACCCCACGCACCCCTTCGAACCCACAACCCTCACCCAGCGCTACTCCCTCGAAACCAATACCTGGAGTACCGTCGCTCCTCTCCCCCTCCCCCTAACCCACCCCAACGCCGCCGTCATAAACGGCGCCATCTATCTCCTCGGCGGTCTAACCCCCAGCTCCCCCCTCAATCCTACCCTCCTAACCACAGCCCCCAACTCCTACATCTACCACCCCGAAACCAACATCTGGTCCCCGCTCTCCCTCGATATTCCCCCTTCCCTCCAAGTAGCAGCCGCTGCTACAGCCTCAAGAGGAAATTCTATCTACCTCGCCGGCGGCCTCACTCATTTTAATCTCAACATTTCCTCCCCATCCCCACCGACACCCAAAATCACAAATTCCCTTCACAGCCTACACATCCGGTCGCGAACTCCTAACCTCGCTTCCTCCACTCCCGCAATCGGAGGTATCGTGCCCGCAAGTGGGTTTTTGGAGGATATTGGACTTTTTTTTTGTGATTGGTGGGAGGGGGAGAGGTGAGAAGGATGAGAAGGGAGATGTGACGTATTGATGTGGAGGAGGATGTAAAAGATAACGAATTTTGTGTATGATTTTCCGGGTTAATGCGTGGGAAGAACGGAAGACGATGAGTTCGCCCGATAGACGGGGAATGGCGTCGGCGGTGGTGGGGAGTCAGATATTTGTTATGGGGGGGTTGGGTGGAAGGGGTGGGGATGAGGATGTGGGTGAGGATGTGGGTGGGGATAAGGGGGAAGAAGTGTTGATGTTGAATGAGGCGTATGATGTGCTGACGGATGAGTGGAGGGAATATGCTCCGATGGATGTTCCTAGGGTATGTGTTTTTTTTTTTACTTATACCCTACCTATGTTCTTATTCTGAAGAAAAAGAAAAAGAAAAAGAAAAGAGAGGAGATTCATAGGATTACTCTTCCTCCATTCCATTCCCCTATCTTACTTTTTCCATTCATCCATTCATCCATCCATTCCCCATCCAATCCATAGCTTCACTTCCCTCTCCCCCCCCCTCTCTACCCGTCCCTCATCCCCCAACACAAACCCCACCCCCCAAAAAAACAAAACCACCAACTAACATCCTCCCCCTCATTTCCCAAAAACAGCACGACACATCCGCCATAGCAATCAATCAAAGAATATACATACCAGGAGGAGGAATCAGCGGGGGAGGTTCTACGGATTATTTTAGTTATTTTGAAGTTCCTTGATTTGTTTGATCTTCCTTGGTTTTTTTGGGGGGCGGTTTGGGGGGCTTTAGGTTTTAAGTTGTTAAATTTAAGGGTTTTTAGGGATTGATGAGTGATGTATGGATGTATGGATGGAGTGGTGGATGGATGGAGTGATGGATGATTGGGTGATGGGTGAGTAATTGATGGTGGGAAGGTACTTAATCTAACAAAACCAAATAAAATTTAACAAAACAAAAAAAATTCGCAATGAGAAATTCACAATTCGCAATTCGCAATAAAAAGTAAAAGTAAAAAAACAAAGCGACATCCAAGGTACACGAAAGGATACGAGTGGAGATGAATTTATACCTAGTAATTATTCTTAATTTACTTTTAAGTGAAGAATATTTACCTACCAACTTACCTAGGTACCTACTGTCTACCTACTATCCATTAATAACCAACCTCAACCTCACTCAACCTCAATCTTGTAAATATCACTATGATTATTGATTATTGAATATTGGATAATAAATAATAAATACCTAATTAGGCAATAAACAATAAATAATCAACCACAGTATACTCATTCATCCATTTATTCAATCAATCATCTTCCATCCCTCTAAAAAAAGCCATCCATCCATCCCTCTTAAAAAAAAATTCATCCATATAGCGATTCGATTCTAAGAATAACTCTATCTCATACTAACTCTACTAACTCTACTAACATGATACGGTACGACACGATAATGGTATACAACAAAGAATTCCTCATCCCCAATCTAAACGCATTCAAAAAAAAAAAAAAAAAAAAAAAAACTCTCACTTATCCCTCTCACTCACTTATCTCTCACTCCATCATATTGATATTCACATTCCTTCATTAATATCAAAACAATACGCTGTAAACAAGCATTCACTCAATCCAATCCAATGCAAGCCGCATGCACAAAAATATTAATATACAAACAAAACAAACAGACATTTATCGAATAATACCAATTCTTTCCTAGCCGTGATTCTGATTTTTAACTTTATCGCTAGGTACCAATACCAATAGTTTATTCATTTCCAGCTGGAAATGGCTGCAATCCATTTATCCTGTTCATTTCTATGATTTCAATCTCATTAGTACATCATCATCATCAACATCCATAATCCGCATAGAATAAATTAGCAAAAAAAAACCAAAAAACCTACTTATCTAAATGTAATAATTGTCCAACAACGGTATTGATCAAATTCTGCTGAATTCTCTTATCCTTTTGTTCCAAAAACTGTAACAAAATCGTCTTGACGTAATAAGTATCAATCGATGCAGTACCACCACCATCTCTCCTTCCATTTGCCGGGCTTTTTGATCTTCCAGAATCGATACTAGATCTCGAAGAAACATCATTTAATCTCGATGTCTTCATCTGTAATGCCTTGAATTCTTTTTGAAGTTTTTCATATCGTTGATTGGCTTCATCAAGAAGCTTTCGTACATCCGCTTTCTGTTTCTCAGCATCACGAAGTTGCTTTTCACTGCCATTCAATGCATTTCGAAGTTCGCTCATTGCTGAGCGGATATCATTAGTTTCCTGGGATGCCTTTTCGGCAATACCCTCGAGTTCATCACGACGCCTCTTGTATTCCTTTTTTGATTCTTCCAATTCATCTCGGTCGTCACTTGCTTGCTTAATCTGGCGCTCGTAATCTCTAATCTTAGTTCTGAGCTCATCTACTTCTCGAGATCTACGACGAGCATTGGTACTAGCTTCATCTTCGGCTCGATCGCGCTCTTCAATGGCAACTTCCATGCGCTCTCTCATTTCCCGAACCATGGCATCAGCTCGATCATTCACACCGTCCATGAGTCCCCGCATCTTTTCTGCCTCTCGAGTTCGCTCGCTTAATAACCTCTGAACTTCACCGAGTTCTTCTTCAAGACTCTCTGCTTGTTCTTTCTTTTCCTTTAGTTGTATGACCATCTCAGCTGTTTGATCTCTCATGCTTCCAAGAAGACCTTGTGCATTGTTGTATTGAGAACCCCTTAGCTCAACCTCCTCGCGGAGCCCCTTGGTCTCAGTAGAAAGTTTTGAAACCTGTCCTTCAAGATCTTGAACGCGACTACGTAACTTCCCGGCTTCTTCTTGAACCTTTGATAGATCTCTAATGGTTTTTTCGCGCGAGGACGACAGTACAACCCTTTCAGCTTCAGATTTTCGCAAATCACGGCCCGCTATACTGGCTTCATTCTCGGCTCGAAGTCGGCCATTTGTCTCCTGAACAACCTTCTCATTCAAAGATCTAATCTCACCTTCTCTATCAGCAGCTTGCTTCTTGAAACTAGCAAGATCACCCTTCAGATCTTTCTCTCGAGCTTCCAATCTCCTCAATTCAGAAGTACGAGCGTTCAGCTCATCCCTGACACTTTTCAAGTTCGCGTTCTCAGTGCGCAGACTCTTCAGTTCCGGTTGTGCATTTTGTAGAACTTGTTTTAGATCTGTCAGCTCCCTGTAACGTGTTGTAGCCAATTGCTCGGCGGCACCAAGGTCTTTCTGCATTGTGCTTGATTTCATCTTCAAATCTTCATACTCAGATGTAATCTTCTTGAAATCTTCTTCCAATTTAGTCGAAGTTATCTTGTGATTCCCGATTTCAGACTCTAACTTGCCGACCTTTTCTTCAAACGCGACCTTCTCCTCCTGCAATCTGGTTGCGACATTCTTGTGAACTTCGATTTCAGATTCTAGTTTAGCTGAAGCTGTCTTGTGAGTTTCGATCTCAGCCTCTAGCTTGGCAACCTTTTCTTCAAGAGCAGCTTTTTCTTCTTGCAAACTGGTCCGTTCCGCCAATAGCTTTGCTTCATCCTCGATGCCAGAATCTATTTTCGCCTGTAGCTTGGATTCTACAAGAGCGAGCTGTTCTGCTAAAGCAGCTTTCTCCTTCTCCATCTCGTCCGAAGATATCTTTCCATTTTCTTGGCCCTTAATTTCAGCCTCTAATTTGCTCGTCTTCTCTTCAAGAGCAGCTTTCTCGGCTCGAAGTTCTTTGATTGTGTCCTTAGCCGTCACATGATCTTGACCAATAATAAGCAAATTTTCTTGAAGATTCTCAATCTCCTCCCTGAGACTCTCCTCATTCTTGCGGTTTGCTTCTAACTTTGCTATTTGCTTATCCTTATCAGCGATACTGGTCCTAATTTGATCGAGTTCAGCTCGCAAATTATCAACAACAGTCTCAAGATTAGGGGCCTTCACGGAGGCAGGAGGCGGCTCTTTATTAGCAGTGGCATTACCATTTTTCTTGCCCTTCTTCTTGTTGCCTGATTTCTTCTTGTTGGATGTAGAGGGTGTCGATGTTGATGGTGTGGGTGGGACGGATGCAAGGACGTCTTCACCTGCTGGAGTTGGCTCCTCGCTGGTCTTTAGAGCTTCAATCTCGCCCTCAAGCTCTTTGACGCGCTTAGCGTCTGTTTCCTTTGACTCTGTAAGCTCCTTAATTTGAGCTTCGAGTAGCTCTATTCGTTTCTCGGCTTCTTTACGAGCATTAGACTGGGACTTAAGATCTTTAGTTTTTGATGCATTAAGTTCCTCAATCTGAACTTTAAGGAGCCCAACTTGTTGCTCGGCTTCTTTACGACTATCCAACTCGGACTTGAGCTTCTTCTCTGCCGTTGTTGTTTGGTCTTTGAGCTCTGATTTCAGGACCGAGAATCTCTCTGAGCTCTGTTTCTTTTCATTTTCCAAAGTCTCTTCGAGTGTGGTAAGTTGGGCTTCCGTCGTTTTTAATCTACTCAATATTCCTGAGTGTTCCTTCTTTTCAGCTTCCAAGGCCTTCTCGAGCTCGGTGACATGTGTTTCAGTGGTTTGTGATTGGCCCAATCTCTCTAAGTGCTCTTTCTTTTGGGCTTCCAAGGTCTTTTCGAGTTCAGCAAGCTGTGTTTCAGTTGCTTGTAACTTATCACTGAGCCTCTTAGTCTCTCCCTCCTGGATATCCAGTTGCTCTTGACGGGACTGGGCCAAACTGGTAGCCTCCTTGATGGAACCATTCGACTCGAGGGTTACCTTTTCCAAATCTTTCGCTAGACTAGAACCTAGTTCTTTAGCAGCGATAAGATCCTTTTCTAATGAAGACACTTTCGATTTTAACTCATCAACTTCTGCCGACTTAGCTTTGATGTCTGATTGTAATTTTGGCAATTCATCGTCGTACGAGAAGAATTCCTCATTAACATCCTTGTTGTCGGAGGATTGTGGCTTCTGTTTGGGAGAGAAAATTCCAAGTACCGATGTAACAGGGGATTTGACGGAAGTGGATGGGGTGTTGATGCTACTAGTCTCTGCTTTTTCCGTGGAACCAGTAGTGGAACTTCCGCCAACGGTAGTAGAGTTTTGAAGAGACGTGAGCTCCTCCCTCAGACTAGCATTTTGTTTTTCGGACTCTTCGTACTTCTTTTTGTATTCGTCGCGCTCTGCAGATACCCGTGTGAGTTCGTCCCTAACTAATCCTCCTTGTTGTTTCTGCTGGTCGAGATATTCAACCAGCGAATCTGGTTCTTGGATAGAACCGATAGGTGTATGCTCCTTGAGGACTTTCTCGAAGGGTTCGATCGAAACGGCACGAGCATGTGCAACTCGGTAGGACTTGAGTAGCTCTATGAAATCGCATTAATATATGTAGACTGAAACTATGCATGTCAACCCCACCTTGATATCTGCCCTCTAACTTTTCCAGCTTTCGCAACTTAGTTCTAACCTCAGTTGGAAGCTCAGCAGAAGCTCTTGGGGTGGCATCCGCTGATTTCTCACTGCCATTCGCAGCAGAAGGACTGCCGCCCGAGGGCTTATCCGCATTTCCCGCCATTGGGTGAAGGTTCTCACCGGCTGGTGTCCCAGCTCGAGTTGAAGCCTCAGACTCGTCTTCAATCACAAAAGCAGATTCAAAGTCTGCAGGATCTGGGCCTCTGCCACCTATTTCATCATCTTCTTTTAGCCGTGGTTTCCGTGGTTTTCGAGAAGGGGATTCGTTCGCAGATCGTCTTGAGATTGAGGATGTAGAAGCCGATCTTTGAACGGAAGGGTGTGTAGCGTTTAGTCGTGCCTTCTCTTCTTCGATGCGACTATCTATTTGAGCTTTAATTCTCTTTGAAATTCGTCAGCTATTTTATTTGCAAGGTTGCGATCCATATTTAAAGAACAAACATACCTGGAACATTCTTTCCACATATGGCGAGTGAGGTGGTTCTGTCACTTTTTTTTTTTAACTATTCATAAATTACTGCATATGATAACATTTGATACAAGTGAAGTGGTAATATATTAATGAGCATAATCAGCAAGTTTGAATCAAGAAAGAAAAGAAATATTATTTATTGTATGAGTAATGGGTAGAATCGTAGAATATTGAAGATATAAGATATAATACCTGTCAACTTCTAAAACTAAGTCTTACCTACCTAGGTAGTTAACTTTATATAACAGATGATAGTAATAAAAGACAAAGCGAAATCCCCATAAGATATGCTCCATAGTGGTGTACCTCCCTACAGTATTAAAAAGTGAGCCTCTTACCCCGTACATGTACCCTACCTAGCCGTGTTGAGTGATGGGCCAAAACGTATCTCAATAATACGAGTACATCAAATCAAAATAGTGACAATGCTTGTGATGCTTGTAAAACTTTAGTGTTTGTCGGGTGCTTTGTGGGTGCTTGCTGGTGCTTCTAAATGCTTCTAATGCCCGTAATAATTAACCACAAGTGCATGTTTAGGGTGTCACGGCCTGGCGTGGGCTCGGCGGGATCCATAGTTTTGAGCTCTCGCAGCTTAATACAGCTATTTTCAAATGTTCCCAATTATATAGTCTGTGCACACGCCATCATCATGTATGTGTACACTGTCTTGTACTCTGTATCATAACTAGGTTCACGCCAATCCAATCACCGAAATTACCCACCCACCTGCCCTATCCACCCACCAACCCTACCCACGAACTACCTAGTGCATTAATGCCTACCTATAGGAGTCAGCCAGCTTAGCTACAAAGTGACGAAGCTATTACCTTGGAAACTTCATCCCCTCCACCACGAAGTGTTGTTCATTTTATTTACTACTTATTATTGATACGACTTCACCATGAGCTGACTGACTACTTCTACTTTATCATCATATTTAAAAATATTCTTCAAAATGGTTTCCCTTTGGCCATGGAAGGTATGTGAAGCTTCATTTTGACATGTGCTTTCAGGGCGTCACACTAACTTAATATTTGTTTCGCAGCGTGAGGATAATTCCCCTGCTTCCTTTGAGAAGACATTATCCGCTTTGGCAGAGAAAATCTCGAAATCACAAGCACAGTTAGAGTCTCGCAGACTTCGTGGCAGACGTGTGAAGGCATTATGGACGTTATATTCAAGTTTCGCATATTTGGTCGTGTTCGTCATAGTTCTTCTGGTGATCGGTTGGAAGAATTTGACGGCCTTGGAGTATACTGGTCTTGCGGGAAGTCCGTTAATGTTAGTATCACTAAAGAAACGTGTTATCTCCGTCACATACTGATACTATTACAGAATTTATCTCATTCGAAGTGGCATAACGAGATATTATGATTATATGGTTGAATCCATCACGCATCGTTTGGAGGAACAACAAGCCGAAAGGGCCAAGACTATCGACAAATTGAAGGCTGCCACGAAATACAACTCCACACAAGAACTTCTAGAGAAATATGGTGGCGCTCCACCAAAACCTACTGCACCAAAGAGAACTCCATCCGCGAAGAAGACTCCAAAGAACAAAGATGCGCACCCCCCACGAACAAGTATGGGCCCACCTGCGACAGCGAATATACCCCGTCCTAACCAAATTCCGAGTCATCCTGCTACCCCTCAACCACTTGGTAACAGGACTCCTCCTCCTGCCTTTATTGCTCCATCTCCGCCGCCTATTGCTCCTCGTAGCGAGCCAGGCCCTCCCGAATTTGCACCAAACGCATTTTCAGGTCCATCTCAATATGCACAAGGTCAACATACCCAGAATGGAGAGTTTGTCGCAGAAGGACACTGGTACGATCGAGTGTTAGATTTATTGCTGGGAGAGGATGAAACACATCCTAAGAATCGACTGGCGTTGATATGCAAAACTTGTCGACTTGTCAATGGTCAAGCACCACCTGGTACAAAAACTTTAGCAGACTTGGGGCAATGGAGATGCTTTGGGTGCCGAACTTTGAACGGGGAGGAAGATGAAGGTGCAAAGGCCGTACAAGAAATGAAGGAAAAAATCCAAGAAACGAACGTGAAAGAGGAAATCACTTCCGAACTTGATGATAGAAGTACGGAGAATGCTGAAGACACTCCGGGGAGTGAGGACTTTGAGCACGATCATATCAAGGACGAAGAACCGTCGGAAGAGGAGAAGGTTGAAGTCAAGCCTAAACGGGAACGGCCCAAATCAACCCGCCGGAAGGTATAACTTGTCATAATTTTTCTTATTTTCTTCACGGGCTTCCTTATTTACAGGCCACATCATGTCCCATGACTTTGTTGTGTATTCTATCTGTCAGATGGCAATTTGCCCATCTCAAAAATCATTATCAAATCATACTTTAGTTCACTGGCACATGGTCAACGAGGTTGTGAAAAATGCATAAATTTTTATTCTAGCGAAGTCTTTCGCTCTTTGTCAATTTTTATTCAAATGAAATCTTTCGTCCTTTGTCAATTTTTTTTTCAAGTGAAGTCTTTGGTCCTTTATCTTGAACGTCTCGGTTATCTTGTTCATCTTGACTAATTTCCTCCCCTATCGTTTGAATTCCCGCTTCTAGCGAAAGACTTATAGTTCTTACGATCAGCAAACGAAGATTTATATTTTGAAGGGCGAATAGTAGGCTCAAACTCAACCGATTCTATGAACGACGCATCACCCTGCTCATTCTTATATCTATCGTTCTCCGTAGCCCTAGAGTCTCTAGAAACTATTCCACGATGTTCATTTCCCGCAGCCACAGGAGCACGACGAGCATTAGTTCCAGTCTCCTTCGCGACATTCCGTTCGCCCTGCATACCCATGTATTGCGCAAATCCTCCCCATGGCTTTGGAGTGGTATTCCCAGTGCGATCATTAGAACCGCGAATGTCAGCACTAGATGCACCGCCTCGCGCGTAGGTACTCTCGGCTAATGTAGGTTCCAAATACTCACTACCGGCTAGTTCAAAACTGGACATCATACTCGATGATGTAGATCCAGTCATTGGAGGAGACACAAATGATGTGGATGGATCGCTTGGATGCGTATGCCGAGAAATAACGGGTACGGACATGCGCTCTGGACTGGGGATTTGTCTGTCTCCTTGTCTGTTTGTGTTTGTTTGTCCACGTGTAGATCGTGCTGCTTGTTGGTTTGAGGGATAGCGGCTTGGGTTGTTGCGAGACATGGTTGTGTCTGGGGTGAGGGATCTGGGATTTGGGATTTGGGGGTGAGCTAATCTCGAGCTTGCGTACCTTTTTTTTTTTTTTTTTTTTCGAGAAAATTCCTCTTTTGCTTTGCTTTGCTGTATCAAGAGAGGTTTGTAAAAAGTACAATTTTCTTGAGAAGTCTGTAAATCTGTAAATCTGTGTACTATGTATGTGTAATCTATGAATTTACTTTGAAAATAAATAAAATATAAAGAAATCTCGAAGCGAACCCGAGAAAAAAAAGGGGTGAATATATAGTTACACAATAATACTTGTTCAGTACCTGTTTAAAAATAATTTTGTCTGCTGTGTTTCTGTTTTTTATGGAAAGTGGTGTAGAACTAGCTGTACAATGAATGATATCTGGATAGGTAGGTTGTAATTAGGTGTTTTTGGGGGAAATAGTTGGTGTTGCTGGATTTGTTTGTTGTTGTTTTTTGGTTTTTTGGTTTGGTTGTTGATTTTTGGTTGACTGTATTGTTTGGTGATTGGGATTTGAGATTTGAGATTTGGTTCATTTTTGGAGTTTTGGAGTTTGAGGTTTTGAGATTGGAAGGATTTTATTTTTGGTTTGGTTTTGGTTTTAGTTTTAGTTTTATGTTAGGTAGGTGAGTTGAGATGGGGATAGGGATGGGAAGTTGAAAGGGGGAGATCGTAGGTTGTAAATTGTAAGATTACTACGGTATAAGGAGGTGGAGGTGGAGGGGAGTACGACGGAGTGAAGGGAGTGGAAGGGAAGGGAAAGTTAATTAGGTTGGTTATTAGAGTGAATGGGATGGAGGGGGTTTTTGGGTTTTATTGTATAGTTGGTGGTATGTAGAATAGTATGGTAGTTATGGTATTTTGGAAAGTTAGTCCGGTATAAAGGTATGAAGGGAATTTATGTAGTGTTATTCGTCCCCCAGAATGTTGATATGATGGGGAAAATACACAGGATTAGTAGGGCGT